AGAGTCGGAGACGACTGAACGAATGAACAACAACAGGCACCTATTTGCCCAGAACTCCTATGTGTAATCTTTGCCGCCCTCCGGTGGACACATCGGGCATTGCGCCCTAAGTTGTTCTGACCCTCCATTGACGCCTTATAGGAACCTATTTGCCCAGGAGTCCTGTGTGTAATCCTTTGCCGCCCTCTGGTGGACACATCGGGCATTGCGCCCTCTGTAGTTCTGACCCTCCATTGACGCCTTATAGGCGCCTATTTGCCCTGGACTCCTATGTGTAATCCTTTGCCGCCCTCTGGTGGACGCATCGAGCATTGCACCCTCTTGTTATTCTGACCCTCCATTGAAGCCTTAGGGTCACATATCTGCCCAGGAGTCCTATGTATAATCCATTGCCGCCCTCCTGTGGACACGTCAAGCATTGCACGCTCAATGGAGCACTTCTAAACATCAGCTCAAGAGTGCACTTCCCTGCCTGGCCACTTGATGGCAGGAAATGATTGCAGCTCAGAATCACAAGGCAAGTGCAAATATTCCTGTGTCCACAAGAGGGCAGCAAAGGGAATGGCCTTTAGGGCTTAACCTGCCATATCCTTGATATTGAGCCATGTCAATGTGCCAAAACCATTATTATTATTATTATTATCATCATCATCATCTGACTAAGAAATGACTCCTAGTTAAGAAAGAGGCTGAGCAAACAGGAAGTGAGCAGAATCCACCCCTAGGAAGGGAAATTCATTCTTGAAAGAGTTATTATCATGGGGGATGTTGAGTTCTGTGAAGATACATGTATGTGTGTGTGTGTACTTGGAATGATTTTAATTAATAGGTTTCTCAATCAATTTTCAGTCCACATGTACATATATATGCATATAATATTTAAATAAATAATATTTAAACCACATCACAGTAATTTTTCGTTCTTCTGTGCCAAGGTTTATATTAACATTATTATTATTTGAAACACAACAAAATAAGTCCACAGCAGATAAGATCACTCGGCTTGGATCACATGTCAGACACTTCCCAAGTGTCTAGGACTATGTGATGTATTGGCGAATAATGCATGCAGATCCCAGTAGGGTGGCCTTCTGCAACTGGCAGATGGTAATTTTGTCAGCGCCGATTGTCTTTAAGTGCAGGCCAAGGTCTTGAGGCACTGCACCCAGTGTGCCAATCACCACTGGGACCGCCTTTACTGGCTTGTGCCAGAGTCTTTGCAGTTGGATCTTTAAATCATTATTATTATTATTATTATTATTATTATTATTATTCCTGAACTGGCCCTTGTGATTTCTACCTATGTTTAATCTCTTTTACTAATTCCACATAAAGCCTGTATTGTTAGGCATATAATTACTATGTCTTTTTTAATTGATGGCTCATTGACTCTAAATAGATAGGAAACTCATGTTCCCATCAGTCTTAATCAATGAGCCATATTTTTAAGTGATATGATAATTATATGCACAAGGAAGCATACTCTGTATCCTTTTACAGCACTAAACAAATCCTAGAGTTGGAACGGATCCCCAAAAGCCATCTACTCCAACCCCGTTCTGCCAGGCGGGAAACACAAGCAAAGCCCTCCCAACCATATCCATCCAATGAAGAAATAGAAATGATTGCTGTAATTGAGAGAGGGGGAAAGAAAAAGAAAGAAAGATGATAGATAGATAGATAGATAGATAGATAGATAGATAGATAGATAGATAGATGGATAGATAGAGATGGCAATCCATCATCCACAACTGGAGTTTGTTGGCATCCTTTGGACGAACCATCAAGGGAGGGATATAAAGACGAGTGTTGCAAAGGAAAAGCTCAAAGCCAACGACAGCCTCGAAGATGGCCAAGGCCTCCCTGAGCCGGATCGCATTGCTTCTGCTGGGTCTCCCCTTCCTGGCCTTGGCCTGGATAGATCTTCCCATTAGATCTCTACGCTCTACAAGTCTTGCTCCTGTAATGAAAGGCTTCAACATCCAAAAGGTAACCATTTCCAGGTGTATCAGGAACAATGCATTCCAGTTGGGATAAACATACAATACAAGTAAGTATTGCATGTTGCGCCTTCGGTGATTAACCATACAACATGGCCCAACTTGAACCACCAGCTGTTCTTGGAAAATCACCCCCTAATAATAATAATTACATTTATAACAGATTTTAAGAGCTTGGAAGGGTCTCAGCCAAGCTCAGCCCCAGCCCAACCCCAAACATTCTTGGGAGGATTAATCAAATCATTTACCAAACCAAAACCTGGTTTGTGAGGAAACTCCTCGGGCCATACAACATGATATCAATGTTTCTCCTTAGAGTACACCCCCTCCTCGCCTGTACAAAGACTCCTCTCGACTTCATTCCTGAAGAGTTTCTCCCATGCAAATAAATCTGCTCCACCCCTATCTCACCCCGCATTTTTAGCTTTAGTATCTTATTCTGTACATGCTGTCTTACAAATGATTTTATTTTAATAATTTATATATATATATGCCGTTACACCCAGACGCTTTTATAAAAAACAAAACTATGATGTGCTGTTCCTTATGTCTGGGTGAACTGCCGGTGCTTTTCTTGAAAAGATTGAGATTCTCAGCAACTGAGTCTACTACAAGTTTTGAACATCAAAAAAGGATATTTATTTCTCAAAGTTGCAAACAGAACAGTCAATTGATAAACCAAATAGATATTGCTTCTTTCTCTTCTCCACCAGTTACTGAGTCAGCCTTTCCCCAAGTGGCAAAGGGATCCAGGGATCCTTCACCCTAATCCAGAGCTGTTATCTTTTTAGAAAGAACAAATCTTTCCCTATCTATCTAAGCTCCAGATTAGCAGTCTCTCTCTCTATAAGACTCTATAAAACCCAATTCTCAAAGCTTAATATCTATTTTTCTTTATACTCTATAACTCTCTTATAATCTATCTAACTATAGCTCAATTCTTCTCAATAAACCTCTCAATTCCTATCTATAACTCAATTAAGCTCATCTAACTATAATATCTCAATTATCCTCAATTGTTTTTACAGTGGTTTGTCGGAGCTACCTTTCTGGCCACCAGCACATCAGATTCCTTCTTCAGAACTGAACAGGCAGGGAGGACTCCAAAATGGAAGTCTTTCCCCGGGAGCAGGGGCGGGCTCAGAGAGTTGCTCCCTAGGCCAATCATTGCAAAGAGTTTGCAGGCTGGCTTTTCCCGCCTTTGGCTGTTAAACTCCAGGCTTTGCAAGGCTGCAGCAGCTCCTGAAAGAAAGGCAAGGGGCAGCCACTCCAAGCAACTAAAAAAACAATGCAAACCAGTCTCCTGGGAGACAGAACAATATACCAGCCATCCCCTGCCACGGGTTGCTGTGGCCCACATGGGGGTTCTGTGTTGGAGGTTTGGCCCAATTCTATTGTTGGTGGGGTTCAGAATGCTCTGTGATTGTAGGTGAACTATAAATCCCAGCAGCTACAACTCCCAAATGTCAAGATTCTATTTTCCCCAAACTCCACCAGTGTTCACATTTGGGTATATTGAGTATTCGTTTAGAGTTTGGTCCAGTTCCATCATTGTTTGAGTCCACAGTGATATCTGGATGTAGGTGAACTACAACTCCAAAACCAAAGGACACTGCCCACCAAACCTTTCCAGTATTTTCTGTTGGTCATGGGAGAACTGTGTGCCAAGTTTGGTTCAATTCCATCATTGATGGGGTTCAGAATGTTATTTGATTGTAGGTGAACTATAAATCCCAGCAACTACAACTCCCAAATGATAAAATCAAATTTTTTTGAGTGAAGGACATACATTGGGTTGTTAGGTGTCTTGTGTCCAAATTTGGTGTCAATTCGTCCAGTGGTTTTTGAGTTATGTTAATCCGACAAACGAACATTACATTTATTTATTTATATTTTACTATAAATATATATATTACTATATTTGATACACACACCCGTTTCTCTCTCCACTCCTTGCAGCGGCCCGAGGGGTTTCCTCACAAACCAGGAGCGGCTTACAAGATATATATACATACAATATATTATATTATTAGCATAGTACAATATCAGTATTAATTATTGCTATATTCTATTATGCAGTTATATTGTAATATTATTAGTAATATTTTTATAAGTATTATATTGCTTTACATTATAATCTTTATTTATTTATTTATTTTGAACACTTTTACCCCACCCTTCTCAACCCCTAGGGGGACTCAAGGCGGTTTAATATTATAAATATTATATGTATATACAATATATTACATTACATTACATTATATTATATTATTAACATAGTACAGGAGACAGGGTGGAACTGTCCCCTGGCCCCCTCACAAACCAGGTTTTGGTTTGGTAAATGATTTGATTAAGCCTCCCAAGAATGTTTGGGGTTGGGCTGGGGCTGTGCTTGACTGAGACCCTTCCAAGCTCTTAAAATCTGTTATAAATGTAGTTATTATTATTAGGGGGGTGATTTTCCAAGAACCGCTCGTGGTTCAAGTTGGGCCAAGCAGCACACGTTCCCAGTGTAGATGCACCCATGACTTGCTCTTCCCGGCCTTTGATACACACACTGTTTTCTCTCTCCACTCCTTGCAGTGGCCTGAGGAGTTTCCTCACAAACCAGGTTTTGGTTTGGTAATTGATTTAATTAATCCTCCCAAGAATGTTTAGGGTTGGGCTGGGGCTGAGCTTGGCTGAGACCCTTCCAAGCTCTTAAAATCTGTTATAAATGTAGTTATTATTATTATTATTATTATTATTATTATTATTATTATTATTATTATTAGGAGGTGATTTTCCAAGAACAGCTGATGGTTCAAGTTGGGCCAAGCAGCACACGTTCCCAGTGTAGACGCACCCATGGCTTGCTCTTCCTGGCCATTAACCACCCCCCCCCTTTTCTCCCTCCACTCTTTGCAGTTGTCTGGAAAGTGGTACCCAGTGTTGACCATCAGTCCAGACCCCACTCCAAAGGCCACCCGGGCTTGTATTATAGAGCCCCAGAGCAATGGAAATGCCTTTATGATGGTGGAAATTCCTGTGTAAGTTTTCCCCCAAAGCCTCCAAAATCAGGCCAAGACTTGTCTCTGAAGAATTCATCAATGGTGGGTGTGGACCTGGGTGTCAAATCGAAAAACAACCCCAAATATAGGACATTTCTGGTCCCAAGAAGGGAGAGCAGAGGGTCTTTCAAACCAGGGCACCAATGGCTACCATATTGTGAGTTTTTCCTCCCTCCCTCCCTTCCTTCCTTCTTTGCTTTCTTTGCAGGAATGGTGCCTGCAAGTTGAGAAAGGTCCTTCTTAGCAAGAATCGCTTCTGGAATTCGATTTTCTCCACGTTAGGTAAGCCAAGATCACATGGATCAAAATAGATGATATGTAGATACTGAGAAAAATAGATAATGCAGATAGATAGATAGATAGATAGATAGATAGATAGATAGATAGATAGATAGATAGAGATGCAAAGGGGGGGGGGGGAGAAAGATGGATGAATATAGATACCAATAGAGATAGGGTAGTAGGTAGATAGATAATAGAAATACTAATAGAGATAGATACAAGAGATGTGGGTAAATGATACATTGATAGAGATGGATCAATAATATAAATACTTATATAGATAGATAGTAGATGATAGATATAGATAAATGAAATACTGTTAGAGACACCAATATAGATGTTAGAGATACTGACAGATGATACACTGATAGAGATGGATTGATAACAAAAATACTGTTAGATAGATAATAGATGATAGACTAGATAGATAGATAGATAGATAGATAGATAGATGAAATACTGTTAGAGATCTGATACATTGATAGAGATGGATCAATAACATACATACTCTTAGATAATATATGATAGACATAGATAGATGATAGATAGATAGATGAAATACTGTTAGAGATACCGATAGAAATAGATAGAGATACTGATAGATGATATGCTGATAGAGATGGATCGATAACATAAATACTGATAGAAATAGATAGATAGATAGATAGATAGATAGATAGATACATTGATAGTGATAGATTGATAACATAAATACTGATAGAAATAGAGACATGATAGATAGATAGATAGATAGATAGATAGATAGATAGATAGATAGACAGACAGATAGGTGAAATACTGTTAGAGATACTGATAGAAATAGATATTAGAGATATTGATAGATGATACTTTGATATGGATGAATTAATAACATAAATACTGATAGAGATAGATAGATAAATAATAGAAGATAGATAGCTAGATTAAATACTGTTAGAGATAGGGGCCTCAGGTCTTGTTGTGGGGTTGATGGACTGCCATGGGTTTTTCTGGATAGAGGGAAAAGCCTTCATCATTGACACCGACTACGAGACCTACTTCTTCGCCTACTTCACCAAAGCAGATGGGTTCCTCCTGCAACTCTATGGTACGTTTCCCAGAGATATATTAGAGGCCTCTTTTTTTAAAAGGTCCGTTAAGAGGAACGGGATGAGTCCCTCCCTAGGACAATCGACACATTATTATTATTATTATTATTATTATTATTATTATTATTATTATTTGAAACACAACAAGATGAGTCCACAGCAAACAAGATCATTCTGCTGGCTGTTGTATTGGACCACACGTTGGACACTTCCCAAGTGTCTAGGACTGTGTGATGTATCGGCGAATAATGTGTGCAGATCCCAGTAAAGTGGCCTTCTGCAGCTAGCAGATGGTAATTTTGTCAGCGCCGATTGTGTTTAAGTGCAGGCCAAGGTCTTGAGGCACTGCACCCAGTGTGCTGATCACCACTGGAACCACCTTGACTGGCTTGTGAGAGAGTCTTTGCATTATTATTATTATTATTATTATTATTATTATTATTGGATACACAGCAAGATTAGTACACAGCAAACAAGATCACTATGCTGGTTGTTGTATTAGATCACATGGCAGACATTTCCCTATTATTATTATTATTATTATTATTATTATTATTGCACGTCATAGTCTAATGTTTCCCCAACTTTGGCCTTCAAAACAGGGGAAGCCTTACCATAGACAAATAGGAAAGCCCCAGTAGTCTAATGCAATGGATTGGTCCTTAGTGTGTACTATACATTCCAAATGGATTAGTGAAGCGAGAAAAAAGTGTCCCAGTCAATATCATTAAGGTTTCTGCAGGATGCTGCTATCGACATATATTCTCAGGTAGGGAACCCCCATTAATTGAGTGCAACGTGTAGAAAATGCTGTATTACATAGAAATGCATTGGAAGGAACTGCGACCCCCAATCCGAAATATTATTCTCAGGGCACCCATGAAGGGTGACCTGAGAAGATAAGCATTACGAATCAATTTTTGGTCAACTTTAGATTTGGTTTGGTTATTTGGGGCGCTGATTCAGAAAATTGCATTGGATAGACCACATCAGCTCTAGTTTCTGATACAGAACATATGTCATCCAGTAGTTGCCATCTGCTCACCCACAGAAAACCATATTTAATAAGTCTTGGCTCTTTAAGAGGGTTTCGCAATGGTGCAACTCTCGTTGCAATGGTGTAGTAACAGCAAGGCCACTGACCATATTTTAGTCCTTCCGGACCGCTCGTGGTCTACGAACACAGGTTGAGAACCACCGGGTTAGTCCTTACAGCTGCATTCAAATCACTCCACTTCTCTGCAGAGAATATTTATAGTGACTTCTCGAACAGCAGAAATCAGCTCCTGACACATTGTGGTAAAAATACATGATCTCTCTGCATCTGTAATCCATCGCCGTACTCATTGTGAGTATCTTGCTATGGTTGTGAGTATCTCTGTATACTGATAGCAGACCTGTAAATAGTTGTGTGTAGTAACGACTGAAGAATAAAACTCCAAAAGAATTTGGATGAAAGCCAGAGATCAAGTGTACTTATTCAAGCTGGTGAGCTACTAAGCAAAGGTCAGAGGTTGTGCTATAAAAACTCTGCTAACTGCGACCAAGACTCTGCAATGCTTTGGGGATGAGAACTATTTATTTACTTATTTATTAATTTACGGCATTTGTAGCCTGCCTTTCTCAGCCTTACGGTGACTCAAGGCAGCTTACAGAAATTAGCAGAATGTAATGCCATACATTCATAAAGTGCAGTTAAAAACATTCAACCTAATATTGTAAAAACCATATAAACCATAAAAATATTACAAACATATTATCACTAGTGTCATCCTGTTATAACATAACTGCTTGCCTTTGAGATAGTCCGTTCCATTGCACAGTTGGAAGAGGAGTGAGAGGAGGAATTCATGTGAAGAGAGAGGGGGCCATGGGACAGTTCCACCCTGTCTCCTGTGCTATGTTAATAATATAATATAATATAATATAATATAATATAATATAATATAATATATTGTATATACATATAATATTTATAATATTAAACCGCCCTGAGTCCCCTTAGCGGTTGAGAAGGGCGGGGTAAAAGTGTTCGAAATAAATAAATAAATAAATAGTATAAAGTAATGCAATATAATACTAATAATAATAATAATAATAATAATAATATTACTAATATATATTAGTAATAATATTACAATATAATTGCATAATAGAATATAGTAATAATTAATACTAATACTGTACTATGCTAATAATATAATATATTGTATGTATATATATCTTGTAAGCCGCTCTGAGTTGCCTTTGGGGTGAGAAGGGCGGCATATAAATGTTGTAAATAAATAAATAAATAAATAATAAATTTGCCTACTGTCCTTCTACCCCATGACACAATTGATTGGTCCTTAGTGAGTACTATACATACCAAAAGGATTGGGGAGATGGGTGGAGGCATTCTTATGGGGTGTTTTTTTAACATTGCCATAGACAAATGCTCTGAGATTCAGAACCCATTGAAGTGCATGCAACAGACGTTTCCTTAGTGTATACTATATCTTCCAAATGGGTTAGGGAAGTGGAAGACAGTGTTCCAATCCATGCCATTGAATGTTCTGGGGGAGCCTTTCCAGTTCTAGGTTCCTGCCCCCATTAAGGCCTGGCAATGGGACCACCTGCAGGCCCATTGTCCTGCACTATATCTTCCAAGATGACACCTTCCCGACCCACTCTTTTTGTCCTTTCTGGGATCTTCCAGCCAAATCGAAAACCGTGTCTGAGGAGGTCCGGCAGAAGTTCCTGGACATCGTCAATCGCTCGGGGCTCCCGACGCAGCATTACCAGGCTCTCAGGGAAGAAGGTAACTGTGGGTGATGGGTTGCGTAGTCATTGGGAAGAGGAAAAGAGGCCACTTCCTCTCATCTGAACCTCACATGTCTTTTCTTCTGCAGATTTGTGCACAAGCCCTCCAGCGAACGGATAGGTAAGATGACTATACGAGGGATGTCCAACCCAGATTTCCCCTGACCCACTTCCTGTGCACTGAGAGCAATGAAATGTGGCCCAGTTCTGAGTCCTTCTCTCCATTGGTGCCACAATCTAGGGATACACACTTATCCCCTCTCTTGAAGCAACTGTAAACACCTCACTTGTCAAAGTCAACGGGTTGCTCCAAAAGCTTCGGAAATCAGGGTCTCATCACTTGAGAAAGGCTTGCCCTTCACAAATAACTTCATGATTGGAAAGAGGTGGACTTTCAGTGGTGCGAAGTGGGGTGAATCAGGGGGATGTGGTCAAATTGAAAAGCCAGAGGAGCATGCTTCTTCCATTTGGGCAGCAGGTGAGTTGGGAACTGGTACATTGTCTTGCAGAAGGTGGACAATTTTGGTGAGCATGTCATATCTCTTGGTTTGGATGGCCTGCAATTTCAACAGCAGTGAAGCCTAGTCTGCCCCAGTGATCACTGTACCCTTTGCTAGGAAATCCATCCATACTCCTCCATGCTGTTCCCAAAATACCGTGAGCATGACCTTGCCTACTGAGAGTTGGGCACACGCCTTCTTTGGAAGTGGTGAGTCAGCATGCTTCCATGGCATCAACTGGAGTTGAGTCTCAGGATCCGAGTGATGGACCCAGCTTTCCTCCTGGATAATCAGTCTGTTGACAAAGTCCTGATTTCCATGGCACGTCAATGTTAATAGAGCCTGAGAGCATTCAACTCGTTCCTGATTCTGGAAAGGTGTGAGCAGCCAGGAGACCCAACAAGCGGATACCTTATGCATGTGAAGATGGTCTTGGATGATTTTTTCCCATGGATCTCACACTCATCTTGATATTTTGGATTAGGTTAGCTGGAGACCCTCCCCTCCCAGCACCAACTGCTTCTCTGGGCCAGAGTGATGGGGGGGGGGGGTGGTAGGGGATAGTACCATCTTGTCTCCTGCATATGTCATCAGTTGGGGACCCCTCCCCCCAGCATCAACTGTTGATCCAGGCCAGAGTGAATAGAGAGGGGACCAGGGGACAGTTCCATCTTGTCTCCTGCATATGACATCAGTTGGCGACCCCTTCCCCCAGCACCAACTGCTGCTTCGGGCCAGAGTGAAGAGAGAGGGCGCTAGGGGACAATTCCATCTTGTCTCCTGCATATGTGTTATCAGTTGGGGACCCCTCCCCCCCAGCACCAACTGCTGCTCTGGGACAGAGTGAAGAGGGGGGGGGCAGGGGACAGTTCCACCTTGTCTCCTGCATATGTCACCAGTTGGGGACCCCTCCCCCCAGCATCAACTGCTGATCCAGGCCAGAGTGAAAGAGAAGGGACCAGGGGACAGTTCCATCTTGTCTCCTGCATATGACATTAGCTGGCGACCCCTTCCCCCAGCACCAACTGCTGCTCCGGGCCAGAGTGAAGAGAGGGGGGGCCAGGGGACAGTTCCACCTTGTCTCCTGTGCTATGCTAAAAATATAATATAATATATTGTATATGTATATAATATTGATGATATTATAATGTGATACAATATAATACTAATAATAATACAATATTATAATTATATATTTTATATTACATGTAATATTACTAATAATATTACAATATAATGGTATAGTGCAATATAGTAACATATAATATTGATATTGTACTATGCTAATCGTATAATTTATTGCATGTATATATATCTTGTAAGCCGAGAAGAGCAGCATATAAATGTTGTAAATAATTAAATAGGTGATGAATGGTTACGTGTCAATTTTCCAAAATGGTGACCTCCACTTGCTGTATGGGGTCACCCTGGAATTTGAGCTGTTTCCACCAAAGTCTGACCACATTTGCATTGATGATGCCAGTTCTTGACTTCATCATATGGTTGGGAATCAGCATCATAAACCTCTTTTGTTTCATCGAACGTCTCCCTTGGTGTGCGGCCTTTCAAGGAAGGAAACTTTAGGACCGCTCTGGATTCCACTGGGTCAATACTCAAACTTTACTCCACTTCTGCACCTCTAAAATTAAGACCATTCTCAGATCTCAGTTGTAAATTGGCACATTACCTATAGAGACTTATATCATTCGGATTATGTGATTTTAACATTGATACTACGAGGTTGAATGAAAAGTAATGCCTCCACCTTCGTTACTTGGGTTTGGATGGGAATATTTTAATAAATCAAATGCAGAAATAATCCTTAGAATGTGCTCTTTAACTACCACTATTCACTTTTCCACATAATCACCAGACAATTGGATACATTTCTACCAATGATGAACAAGTTTTCTGAAGCCATCACGGAAGAAGTCGACACTCTGTTTCCGCAACCAGCGTCTCACAGTTCTCTCAACGTCTTCATCAGATCTTCTTTTATTATCAGATGGAAGTCAGGCAGTGCTAAATCAGGACTGTATGGAGGATGTCATATGGTGGTGAGATCCAGTCTCTGAAGTTTCAAGTTAGTGCGCTTTCATTTCAGGCGTCAGTATCCTGGGTACCCATCATGCACAGATCTTCCAATAGCCAAGCAAAGCAATAATGTGACCCACACGTTCTTGTGAAATGCCGATTATGCTTGAAATTTATCTCTGAGTGATATGACAATAGTTCTGAATCAATCTGTCAATTTTTTGCTTGTGGAACTCAGTGGTTGCTGTCACAGGATGACCAACTCTTTGTTTGTCACGCAAGTCAGATGTTTCCACCTCAACATTTTTAACTTACTTCAAACTTGAATGGTTGTGTTGTTAAAGTGCGAGGTATGGAACCCTGCGCAGACGGTTGGTCAATGTGACTTAAGCTACGTGCAGTCATTGAATTCTTGACAGCAGAAGGTGTCACCTCAACATCTTTAAACTTACTCGCCCAACGCACAGTACTCACATCAACACAATCACCATAAACAGCTTGCATTCTCTGATGAATCTCCTTTGGGGTGACACCTTCTGCTGTCAAGAATTCAATGACTGCATGTTGCTTAAGTCGCATTGACCGACTGTCTGCGCAGGGTTTAACAACACAATCGTTCAATGCTAAGGCTTCCTGCCAAAATGGAACTGTAGAGGAGAGTCTACTGAACAAGCCAGTACCTGCCGCATACCAGTACTGTCATCTGTTGAGGAGTTACGAAGGTAGAGGCATTACTTTTCATTCAACCCTCATAGAAGTGAGTCAGGTGAGAAGAGGAATGGTAGAATGGATTTTCAGGGGCGGCTCAACCCATTATGCAAAGTAAGCATTTGCAGTATAGTTGATTTTGCCAGGGGTGCTCTTGAGGCACTCTTGGGGGAAAATGGACCTTACATATGCGAGTTGTAGTTACTGGGATGTAACTACAATCAAAGAGCATTCTGAACTCCACCAATGATGGAATTGAACCAAATATGGCACACAGAACTCCCACGACAACAGAAAATATATATCAATGATTGGTTGGGGGGGGGGGGAATACTGTTTGCTTACTGTTGAAAATTACCTAGGGCCGCCCCTGATTATATTTGAGTATCCCACCTTTCTCCCAATAGAAGACCTCAAAAGGGAGGTGTAATAGGCCTCCAAATAGAGGGGATGCTGGGATAGAAACAAGTGGCCGCGTTCTTCATTGACCATTTGCCCCTTTCATTCTGCAGGGCCCTAAATGAACCCAAGAGGCAGCCATGGCTATGTTCCCCCAAAAGCGGGATTCGAACATTGAGCGGAACGGAAGGACACCGACAACACCGAGTCCCAACAATAAAAGAATAATGAAACCCTAAAATGTCCTGCTGTCCTTTATGTAAACAAAGCCCAAACAGCCCTTTGTATGAAACTCTTACGAAGGGTTGGTATGACCTCTGCTTTGCTAGTGAAACTGAATGACCGTGTCACAAACGGAGGCAGGTTGCAAAACCATGTCGCCAAGAGGAAAAGAATGGAAAGTTAACGCAGCTTAGGGTAGAACATGAGTTCATTATGGATATATTTATTCTGATAGATGGCCCATCACCTCTGGATGCAGCAGAAGCCCATGTTCCCCTAAATCTATCATCAATGAGCCATCTATTAAAAGGATGCCATAAATATGTTCACAGTCAGCGCACACTCTGTAGCCCAATCCTAGTTTGGAAGGGGGCCCAAGGGCCATCCAGTCTGCTTCCCATTCTGTCGCAAAGGGAGACTTCATCCGATCCTTCCTGATAGATGACACAGCCATAGATATTATAGGAGAAAGAGATGATTGAGACACAGGTATAGATTCCTAGAGTTGGAAGAGACCCCAAGGGCCCTTCGGTCCAACTTTATTCAGCCATAAAAGGGCTGGGATTAGCACAGTGGGCCTGAGCTACAGAAAATACCTTGCAATACCTTGCAATAGGAGTTTGAGCTTGGGTCAGGCTTAGCACCCAATATCAGCCCCAGCTCATCTGCCCACCTAGCAGGTCAAAAGCGGAAATGCAAGTAGATAAATAGGTACAGCTTTTAACAGAGAGGTGATAAAGGCGCCCTTAAGGACAACGATCGGGAGGAAAAGCTCTTCGGCATGGAAGATGGAGCGACAGGATCTCCTGTGGCCAGAGTTTAGTACAGCCTCCAAGATGCCGGAAATAAGATGGGAAAAACCGTCTTTACCTCTGTTTGTGTTGTCTGTCCTTGTCAATTGTGTAATCGGCATTGGATGTTTGCCGTGTGTGTGTTCTGTGAGCCACTCTGACTCCCCTTCTGGACTGCTCTGTATCCCACTGGCTCCATTCTCAAACCTCACATTGCTGTGATAAATGGAAATGGGTCAGGGGAAATCTTTAAAGAACACCCCTTGTAGAATGACTTCCCAAGACACGAAACTCCAATGGAGAGGGAATGCTGTCACTGGAGGACAATGCTTCAGGCCCACTAAGCCTCCTAGGTCCCTTCCCCATGGACGGTTGTGTCCTTCGGGGGAGATCAATGGCCATCTGTTGGGGTGAAACAGCCTACAATGCAACGAAGGCCACAATCGTTTCTCTTCAATGGCCAACCTACAGGGGTTGAATGAAAAGTAATGCCTCCACCTTTGTTCCTTGCATTTGGATGGGAATATTTTAATAAACGCAGAAATAATCCTTAGAATGTGCACTTTAACTACCACTATTCACTTTTCCACATAATCACCAGACAATTGGATACATTTCTGCCAATGATGAACAAGTTTTCTGAAGCTGTCACGGAAGAAGTCAACACTCTGTTTCCGCAACCAGCGTCTCATGGTTCTCTCAGAGTCTTCATCAGAAGCATAACGATGTCCCCGCAGATCTTCTTTCATTATCGGGAACAGATGGAAGTCAGGCGGTACTAAATCTGGACTGTATGGAGGATGCCATACGGTGGTAAGATCCAGACTCTGAAGCTTCAAGTCTGTGCGCTTTCATTTCAGGCGTCAGCATCCTGGGTACCCATCTTGCACAGATCTTCTGATAGCCAAGCAAAGCAATAATGTGATCCGCACGTTCTTGTGAAATGCCGATTATGCTTGAAATTTCTCTCTGAGTGATACGATGATCGTCCTGAATCAATCTGTCAACCTTTTGCTTGTGAAACTCAGTGGTTGCTGTCACAGGACATCCAATTCTTTGTTTGTCTCGCAAGTCAGATGTCACAATCTCAACATAGAATCATAGAATCATAGAATCCTAGAGTTAGAAGAGACCTCATGGGCCATCCAGTCCAACCCCTGCCAAGAAGCAGGAATATTGCATTCAAAGCACCACTGACAGATGGCCATCCAGCCTCTGTTTAAAAGCTTCCTCCACCACACTCCAGGGCAGAGAGTTCCACTGCTGAACAGCTCTCACAGTCAGGAAGTTCTTCCTCATGTTCAGATGGAATCTCCTTTAAACTTACTCATCCAATGACGCACAGTACTCACATCACCACAATCACCATAAACAGCTTGCATTCTCTGATAAATCTCCTTTGGACACCTTCTGCTGTCAAACATTCAATGACTGCACGTAGCATAAGTCACATTGACCGACTGTCTGTGCAGGGTTGCATACTTCGCACTTTAACAACACAAACGTTCAATGCTAAGACTTCCCACCAAAATGGAACTGTAGAGGAGAGTCTACTGAACAAGCCAGTACCTGCCACATACCAGTACTGCCATCTCTTGAGGAGTTACAATGATGGAGCATAACTTTTGATTCAACCCTTGTAGAAGCCCAAAAGAGAAACTATGTTTATTTACTTTTGTCGAGGGACACCTTCCAAATACAGAACTATCCAGAACAGAGAAGACCACATCCTAGGCCGAGACATTTGCAAAATGGCTTCCTTAAAAATGGGTTGAATGAACAGATGGCCACAACTTGTCCATCATGGTTTGTTGGCCATCCTTGGCACCTCTGGACAAAACGGACATTTCTTGGTCCGTTGGCAGAACAAGGTCTTCTCAAAGCAATTTGCTCACACTTCCTTCCTTCTGGCAGAAGGCCGACTTTGCATGGACTTTCTTGCCTGATCAATGAAGGCATCAAGGGAGGGATATAAATGCAAGGATCACAAAGTTGAAGCTCAAAGCCAAAAAAAACCCACGAAGATGGCCAAGGCATCCCTGCACCCGCTCGCATTGCTTCTGTTGGGTCTCCCCTTCCTGGCCTTTGCAGAGGATGTTCCTGTCATGACAGATGTCGACGTCACAAAGGTAACCATTTCCAGGTGCATCAGGAGTAATCCCCACAAAAGGTGATACATACCAATTGGGATCGACATACAATACAAGTAAGTAAGGGAAACAGTGGACTGGGACACCGAAACTGGATTCGGCACATCTCAATCATTCAGTGAGTTCCACAGTATGGGAGTAAGGGAATTTTGAGAGGCAATATAAGAATAATAATAAACATCATCATATTTATTATTTTATTGGTACCTCCCAAAAACCTTTGAAATTATATTAGTAGTAGCAATACACCCCAAAGGACTGGGGTTCGAATCCCCATTTCGGGTGCAGCTACACTTGTGAGTAAATGCAGTTTGTCCCTGCTTTATCTGCCCTGATCTCAATGTTATGGAGCCCTGGGAGTTGGAGGTTAGTCCTCATTGACAGAAAAGGCAATGGGCCTTGGGGAACTACAGCTCCCAGGATGCCCTGTGTTGCTGAAATAAGCTATCTGTCACCAGGGGGCAGCATAAGTCTACTGCCCATCACGTCATGCTAGTTTGAAAACCAGAAAAACATGACCAGGTTTGAAGGTAATAACAGAGGTTTATTCAACTGTCCAGATGAATAACAGAACAGCGTAAACGCTGTTGTGTGTGTGTGTGTCTGTGTCTGTATCTGTATGTGTTGGAGTTTCTTGGGGATACAGTTTAAGGGAATTTTATGTTTTTTATTATTATTTATCTTGAGGCTGAGAGAGTGGGGCTTGGGAGGTAAGGGAAAGGTCAATCCTGAGCTGTTAGAATCTTAGCAGAGAAGAGAGGGGGAAAGATGGAGAAGAAGCAAATAATGGGCTGGCCTGAGGGGTTTCCTCACAAACCCATTTTTAGCTTGGTAAATGATTAGATTAATCCTCCCAGGAATGTTTGGGGTTGGGCTGGGGCTGAGCTTGGCTGAGACCCAGCCAAGCTCTAAAAATACATTATAAATTTATAGTTGTTATTATTAGAGTAGGGCTGGTTAATTTTTCAATAACAACTGGTGAATCAAGTTGGGCCAACTTCATTCTGCAGTGTAGATGCACCCTGACTTGGTCGTTCCACGCATTAATCTCCCTTTTCTCCTTCCCCTCCTTGCAGCTGGCTGGAAAGTGGTACCCGGTAAAGACCATGAAGGCAGGCTCTGATCCAATTGAAATCTATGCCTTCACTCTAGAGCCCACAGCTGATGGAAGCATCATAACAAACGTAGAGATCCCTAAGTGAGTGGCCTCCGGAATCCCCCCAAGTCATGGAGCAGGTCATGGCCTTAGGAACATGAGTTCCCCAAGGACATCACCTCCAAAGCACATCCAGAACGTCCCAATTGGAAAAAAGTGCCAAATATGGGACAATTTTGGTCCCTAGAAGGGAGAGCAGGGTGTCCCCAAAAGTGGGACTTTTTGACCTTTGTCCTCTTCTTCCTTCCTTCCTTCCTTCCTTCCTTCCTTCCTTCCTTCCTTCCTTCCTTCCAGGGATGGAGTCTGCACCATTAAAAAGACAACCGGTACCAAGAAAAGTCCTGGGGTCTTCACCTCATCAGGTAAGCCCAGAAGACAGGTTAGGAGTTGAAGTTTCCCCAAGGGCTCAAGCCTTGTCTTGCCGTGGGCTTCATTGGGGTTAATGAGCATCCATCTTCCATGGGTTTCTCTGGACAGATGGAGAGGCCACCATCATGGACACGGACTACAAGACCTACCTCTTCACACATTTATCCACTGGCAACCTGCGCGTCCTGGAACTCTATGGTATGTTTCCCAGAGATATATTGTGTTGTTCTTTACTCGTTCAGTCGCTTCCGACTCTTTGTGATCTCATGAAGAGATATATTAGGGGGCCCATTTAAAAAGTCAATTGGGATGAATGGGAGGATCTCTCTAAGACAGTCAACATACCATTGTTGTTTTTGTTGTTGCTGCTGCTGCTGCTGCTGCTGTTACATGCATAGATTAGTGTTTCCCCAAATGTAAACTTTCGGACTAAAGGAGGGGAAGCCCTGCCATAGACAAATAGGGAAACCCCACTAGCCAAGTACAACAAACTGGACCTTAGTGTGTACTATAAATCCCACATAGATTAGTGTAGAGGAAGAAAGTGTAATTAAGGTGGGGGCGGGGGAAATGACTCTGTCATAGGAAAACGCTCTGAGATCAGAAACCTCATTTGTCAAGTGAAACCATATGTGGGCCCTGTGGTTTCCAACTGGAGCCACCTCCAGGCCCATCATCCTGTACTACATCTCCCAAGCTTGCTGTAGAGCAATTTAGAATGACTATGGATTAGGCCCAAGCTGTTGTGGGTTGCCTGGTGAGAAAAGAGAAGCCAATATTGCAAAATAAATCTCACCAAGTTGAAGCAGAAGCCACCAAGATATTTATTTCATTCCAGCTCGAAAGGATGACGATTGCAGTAATTCTGCCAAACAAATTTACATGTCTGTTAGGCAAGTAAATACAGAATATATAGGTTTCAGATTCAAAAGTTTCCATGCCCACTCCCTTAGCCAGCTGTGTTGTGATTGGCTGCAACATTGGCAAGCCAGCAGGCTAGCCAATGGTGGCCTGAGCTCTGCTTTGGCCTCTCGGCCAATGGGGTGGAAGGGAGGCGGGCAACAGGAAAACAATGAAGAAATGTCCAGTTGACTGGTTTAAATGACTAATGTTTTCAAAATGGCCCAGCGATTGTGTAAGCCCTCGAGCTAGCCAGGGTTTATTGTTTAAGTTCCTTGGAATCATCTTTTGAAGTCTGGTCCAAATGGCCAGGTCCTCCAGTATGGGTTTCCTTGATGAAGCAGAGATTGGTTTCAGAGATTGGGATATGACACAGTAGGAGAGGCGGTGACAAATCCCCAGTTCCTCGCAGATGGGGAGATGTCCTTTGTGTTGAGTGATTCAGTATGTCCATAGACTCCCGTATGGTGAAACCTTTCGTTTGGGGATTAGTAGCTCAGGAAGCATGAGCCAGGTGAATTGCTGGATTTTGAAAACAGTGGCTTTTCCTTCATATTTCATAAATATAGACACACACACACAGGGAATGAGGAATGAGGCAAAGGAGCATACACAGAGTTCATAGGGGATATATTATATAAAGGCAAAGGGGAACCATATTAGCCCTCCCTCCCTCCCTTCAAAGTTAAGACAAACACATTTGTCTCATGGCCATTTGAAGGGGCTTCGACCCCCTTTCGCATTTCCATGAGGGAATAGATGGGGATCCCAGAGTTTTTCCATTTAGCCCAGGCAGGCAAGGGCCCAGTTGGGGTACACCCTGGGACTAAGGGGTGATGCAAGGAATACATGGGATTCATGCAGGGAAGTGGGGAGAGGGGTCCCTGATACCTAAAAGTTCATAAAAGAGGAAATGAATGGCAAAGGAAACATAAAGCATAATGTTTCTCCTGGCTAACCTTTAGCCTAGACGTATAAATGTTTCTCAGCTCAAAAGGGCTATGTCTTCATACACCAGTCAGCAGCTTATGATACCGTCAACCACTGCCTCCTCCTGAGAAAAATGTATAATATCACAAAGGACTACCGTCTCACCCGCCTCATAGGAAACCTGCTACAAAACAGGAGCTTTTTTGTTGAGTTCCAGGGCCAGAGAAGCAGATGGCGGAAACAGAAGAACGGCCTGCCTCAGGGGAGCGTGCTCGCTCCATCCATGTTCAACATTTACACAAATGACCAGCCACTGCCAGAAGGGACAGAGAGTTTCATCTATGCTGATGATCGTGCCATTACCGCTCAAGCAGGGAGCTTTGAGATGGTTGAACAGAAGCTCTCCGAAGCTCTAGGTGCTCTTACTGCCTATTACAGGGAAAACCAACTCATCCCTAATCCATCTAAAACACAGACGTGTGCCTTTCACCTTAAGAACAGACAAGCATCCCAAGCTCTGAGGATTACCTGGGAATCCCACTGGAGCATTGCAGCGCACCCAAATATCTGGGAGTAACTCTGGACCGTGCTCTGACCTACAAGAAGCACTGCCTGAACATAAAGCAAAAAGTGGGTGCTAGAAACAATATCATACGAAAGCTGACTGGCACAACCTGGGGATCACAACCAGACACAGTGAAGACATCTGCCCTTGCGCTATGCTACTCTGTTGCTGAGTACGCATGCCCAGTGTGGAACACATCTCACCACACTAAAACAGTGGATATGGCTCTTAATGAGACATGCCGCATAATCATAGGGTGTCTGTGCCCTACACCACTGGAGAAATTACACTGCTTAGCCGGTATTGCACCACCTGACATCCACCAGGAAGTAGCAGCCAATAGTGAAAGGACCAAGGCAGTGACATCTCCAGCTCATCCCTTGTTTGGGTCTCAGCCAGCACGTCAACGACTTAAATCAAGAAATAGTTTTCTTAGATCTACAGAGACATTCACTGGAACACCTCAGCAAGCGAGAGTCCAAAAGTGGCAGGCTCAAACCCAGCACCTCAATCTGTGGGTGATACCAAATGAGACACTCCCCCCTGGGCACACAGAAGACTGGGCGACTTGGAAGGTGCTGAACAGACTGCGCTCTGGCACCACAAGATGCAGAACCAATCTTAAGAAATGGGCTACAAAGTTGAATCCACAACATGCGAGTGCAGAGAAGAGCAAACCACTGACCACCTGCTGCAATGCAAACTGAGCCCTGCCACATGCACCATAGAGGACCTTCTTGCGGCAACACCAGAGGCACTCCAAGTAGCCAGATACTGGTCAAAGGACATTTAATCAACTACCAAGTTTGCAGAATTTGTGTTTTTTTATCTGTTTGTTTGTTTTGTTCTGTTAGAAATGTAATACAATGGTATGGTTGCTGATGACACGATAAATAAAATAAATAGCTCAAAAGAGAGTCCCTTTTGTTTGTGAGCCATTGACTGAGATGGGGAACTATTAGCAGAGTCGTTAATTCTCTAGCCCAGGTGTGTCTCAGATGGAAAAAGTCAAATACTTTTGTGGCATGGTTTTCAGTAATAAATTTGTTACCTTCTGCTATAAATATATGAAAATAGGGCATAAAACCTTGATTAAATGATGCACACTCTCTAACATGGGAAGGGTCCTTGTTGTTGTTAGTGTCTTTGCAAATTGACCAATACTTAACCCTTATTATCCAGTCTGATGTCCTTGTCCTTAGCAAAACTATAAGTTACTATCTTTTATTGGGGGGAGGGGGTCATGTTCGACTTCAAGCTGACTCCCTTTTCCCCTCCTCCTTTTCTGGGGTCCCCTTTCAGGCCGAAAAAAGAAAGTGCCTAAGAAGATTAAGAAGAAGTTCAAAGCCTTGGTCAAAAAAGTGGGGCTGAAGCCAGCACGTCGCTTGAAAGTGCGGAAGAAAGGTAACCGTGTGTGATGGGTTGTGTTAGTCATTGGGAGAGAGGCTGCTTCTGAAGCCGATAGGAGCTTTAGGAGGGTCTTCCCCAGGAGGAAGGACCCTAAGACCCCACCAAAGAGGGATTGCTACTTTAGTGAGCCAGAGAAGCCTGATTTCAGCAATTTTATTTAGATTAAAAATTCAGAATAAATCTCACCAAAGTTGAAGAAGAGGCACCAAGGTGTTTTTATTAGCGATTCAGCTGAAAAGGATGCAATGTAGCAATCATTCGCCTACAAAGCATACCAGTACAGAGATCAGAGACATTTTATAGGGTTTACAGGTTTAGAAGTTTCAAAATTCCCGCCCTCCGCCCTCCACCCGGCTCGCAGGTGATTGGCTGATGGGATAACAGCTGGGAGGAGGCTTGGTCGCCCGCCTTGCGCCAGGGCCAATCACTGAGCTCCTCCGCTGCGCAGGAGCCAATGGGAAAACTCCTACCGCCTCAGCGCTCTGACGAATCAGGAGAAGGGAGGCGGGACGAGGAAGAAACAATGGGCTGGTGAATGGATTAATGGATTTCATGCCTTGGGGTCTGTGATGGATGCCCAGCCCATTGTCTTTGAATGGATTTGTGATAGACATTGATTACTTTATCCGGGTCTTCCTGTCGCCATCAGATAGGACACAATGGAGGGACTGGGGTGAATGTTTGTCATGACAAGTTTTGAAAGGAGAAACCGTTTCGGGGAAAAGACCCTCTTGAGGGTCTTCCGCCCACCAGGGTGATGTGATCAAAGGTGCCAAGCGAAACCTTTTCATTGAATGGGCCAACTCCGAGGCTCAATTTGAGGTTTCCAATTCGATGTTTTCCATGCACAAGTTATCATGATAAGAGTTCTTTGTGATAGCTAATCATCCTTTTCAACAGCTGGCCGCTTCCTTGATGAGCTTCCTCCAAGAGGGAGGGGAAAGGGCAATGGGTTGGGTGCCAGGGCAAGAATTAAGGAAAAATACATGGGGAATATAGGAATCCAAAGAAATTCATATGAAGCATCCCTTTCCACCCCCTGCCTGCCAGAGAAATTGATTGAAACAATAACTTTAATAAAACATGTGTCCATAGTTCATACTGGGGAAGATCAGACGTGAAAATGAGTTCTTTAGAGTCAAAAAGAATTGAAGAAAGTCCAACAGTCACAAAAAGGAGCTGGGTGATTTCCACTGAGCCAAGAAATGGATTCCTGCAGCGCCAGGATCGAGACTTCTCCTTGGCCCTTGGAAAACTGTAACTCTTTCCAATGGCTAGAGCTCAGGGACCAATCTGCTCCCTGAAAACCTCCTGGGGTCCTTGCTGTTGTTAGTGTCTTGGCAAATTGACCAAGACTTAACCCCTATTGTGCAGTCTGCTGCCCTTGCCCTTTACAGAACTATAAGTTACCATCCCTTATTTGGGGGGGGGGGCATGCTCGACTTCACTTCCTCTCATCTGAATCTCACGTCTTTCCTTCTGCAGATTTCTGCAAAACGCCGCCAGCATAGGTAAGACGAAAATATATTATTACCTTTATATATGTGTATCCCACCTTTCTCCCAACAGAGAGCCTCAAAAGGCATGTCAATAGATGGGATCTCTTGTTCTATTCCTCCTTTATCCCAACAGAAGGCTTCAAAGAGGGGCCGGGCTTAGCACAGTGGGCTAAACCGCTAGCTGTGGAAAATCCTGCCAATCGAAAGGTTGGCAGTTTGAGCCTGGGTTGGGGCAAGCACCCACTGTCAGCCCCAGCTCTCTGCCCACCTATTAGATCGAAAGCAGTAATGGAAGTTACGAGTATCAGTAGGTAATTAAATCCGCCATTAAGGACATCGATCGGTAGGATGCCTAAGGACAACAAAGCTCCTAGGCATGGAAGAAGGAGCAACAGCACCCCCCTGTGGCAGAAGTCAAGCACAGCTTCCAAGATGCTGGAAATAAGATAGGAAATGCCTTTACCTCTGTTTGTGTACTGTCTATTCTTGTTAATTGTGTAACAGCATTGAATGCTTGTCGTATGTGTGTTCTGTAATCCGCCCTGATTTCCTTCGGGCAGATAGAGCAGACTATAAATAGAGTATATTGTTATTATTATTATTATTATTAGTAGTAGTAGTAGTAGTAGTAGTTGTTGTTGTTGTTATTGTTCTGCTAACTTTGCAGTCTGAAAACATGCAAATGTGAGTAGATTAATTGGTACCGCTCCTGCAGGAAGGTAATGACGCTCCATGCAGTCATGCTGGCCACATGACCTTGGAGGTTTCTACGGACAATGCCGGCTCTTCAGCTTAGAAATGGAGATGAGCACCACACCTCAGAGTCAGACACAACTGGACTTAATGTCAGGGGAAAACCTTTACCTTTACCTAGCAGTAGTAATAATATCAAAATTGTGTTGTAAAAGGCCTGCAAGTAGAAGGGATGCTGGGATAGAAACAAGTGGACGTGTGGGGCAACGCACTGCCCGCATCCTTCATTGACGGTTTGTCCCTTTTCTTCTGCAGATCCCTAAAGGAACCCAGGAGGTGTAGGGACGCCAACATCACCACCGACTCCCAACAATAAAGGAATAATGAAACCCTAAAATGTCCAGCTGTCCTTTATGTAAACAAAGCCCAGACCAGGCATGTAGCCGGGGGGGGGGGCCTCGGGGGGCTTCAGCCCCCCCCCCCGAAATTTTCATGGTGGTTCGCGAAAAGGCCTTACTGGTGCATTATTTAAACTGTTATGTTTATTCATATCATGATCTGATCACCATACTCAATATATCCCATATGCATGGGGGTATTGGGGTAATGATACAAAAGGTTTGCTAGGCTAGACCCTCTTTCACTCAGACGCAGCCCCCCCCCCCCCCAAACTCAGCCCCCCCCCAAAACCCCCCCCTGAAAAAAAATTTAGCCCCCCCCAAAACGAAATCCTGGCTACGGGCCTGGCCCAGACAGCCCTTTGTATGAAATTCTTATGAAGGGTTGGTATGACCTCCGCTTTGCTAGTGAAACTGAATGACTATATCACAAAAGGAGGCAGGTTTTGCAAATGATGAAGGCAAGATGAAAACGCATAATACACATATTGGAAAATATATATTGGATGTAACCATACTAGAAGTAGGAGTTAGAAAATATATGAAATAACAAACGATGTATGTATGCATGAACTTCACTTGGCTTCTTAAAAGCTGCAAAATTAGATGCCTCGAGAAAGGCCAGGGTCTAAAGAAAGGAATATCAAGAGGCCTCTGACTAATTTCAGGAGACTCCTTCCATTTTGGTACCAGGCAAAGCTTATCGTAGGATTAAATGAGCTGGCCATCAAGTGGCTTCAGGAAGAACTTATCTCAAGACGGATGGAAGCTCTTGCTATCAGGGGTTTAGTAGACATTCTGGCGATGATCCTCATTAACAGCACCTCCTCAGATAAGGATGCTCAAAATGAAGATTGACAGGTGTTGAACTTAAAATATGTCATTGAAGTCAATGCAAAAGAAGAATTTTGTGACGCACATTGTGATGCCTGTATGATGCATGGATGTTATTTTAAAGGGTATATAAACCAAGCCTTTTCTTTGTTCTATACCCTGTTTTTCCAGCAGGGTCCATATCCGGTTGGCGCCAACCAAGAATAAACCATGCTTTTTCAGACCCCAGGAACTCTCCTTGTCTCTTTTCCTCAAAACTTCTCCCTGCCATTTCACCAAGAGGAAAAAAATATGGAAAGTTAACGCAGCTTAGGGTAGAAGTTCATTATGGATATATTTATTCTCTTGCCCTTCTCATACATGACCTCTGGATACAGTGGAAGCCCATGTTCCCCTAAATCTATCATCAATGAGCCATCTATTAAAAGGATGCCATAAATATGTGCACACTCAGCACACACTCTGTACCCTTTTACACAGCCCTGGTTTGGAAAGGGGTCCAAGGGCCATCCAGTCCACTTCCCCTTCTGTCGCAAAGGAAGTCACCATCCGATCCCTCCCGACAGATGGCCACACAGCCATAGATATTATAGGAGAGAGAGATGATTGAGATACAGGTATAAATTCATAGAGTTGGAAGAGACTCCAAGGGCCCTCCAGTCCAACTCCATTCAGCCATAAATAATAATAATAATAATAATAATAATAATAATAATAATAATAATATAAATAATCTATATAAATAAAAATATAATGTTCGTTTGTGGGATTAATATAACTCACAAACCACTGGATGACTTGACACTAAATTTGGACACAAGACACCTATCAGGCCAATGAGTGACCATCACTCATAAAAACCCTGAAAAACACAGCAGAAGCAAAAAAAACAAACAAAATGACGCTATAGCGCATGCACAAAACCACACACACACACACACACACACACACATATATATATGCATATACATGCATATATGTACATATACACAAATATATATACACACAAAACACATATGCACAGACTAGGCCACAGAAATGCATGGCAGGGGACAACTAGTAGTAGTAGTAGTAGTAGTAATAATAATAATAATAATAATAATAATAATAATAATAATAATAATAATAATAACCTTATGTATATTCCACTCTATCTCCCCAAAGGGACTCAGGATGGATTCCAAACATAAAAGGCAAACATTCAATGCCCGAACACAACAACAATACATCCATACGAACAAAATTTATACAACCCAACATATGAATATGAATTATAACTTAAGAAACTAAATTAAATAAAAGCACAGCCTGTTATAACAGACATAAGACAAAACATCAAATGGAAACAATAATTTTCTTTGGGGCAAATTGATTAATCATTGCTCAAGATATCTATTGAGCTGGTGGGGTGAGCAGGGCACGGATACGGATGGCAACTATTAATCAGAGGTATAATGGTAGTATCTCCAACTATTCCTCCTCCTCTTAAGCCAGTGAGCAAAGGTATGTCTTTTTAAAGGAGTTTTTTAAAGGAGCCGGGCTTAGCACAGCAGGCTAAATCACTGTGCTACAGAAAAACCCTGGCAATTGAAAGGTTGGAAGTTTGAGCCCAGGTCAGGGTGAGCACCCACCGTCAGCCTCAGCTCATCTGCCCACCTAGCAAGTCAAAAGCAGAAATACGAGTAGATAAATAGGTACAGCTTTTAACAGGGAGGTCATAAAGGTGCCCTTAAGGACAACGATCGGGAGGAAAAGCTCCTCAGCATGGAAGATGGAGCGACAGCACCGTCTGTGGCCAGTCGAGCACAGCCTCCAAGATGGGGAAAACCGTCTTTACCTCTATTTGTGTTGTCTGTCCTTCTCAATTGTGTAATCAGCATTGGATGTTAGCCGTATGTGTGTTCTGTGAGCCACTCTGACTCCCCTTCTGGACTGCTCTGTATTCCACTGTCCCCATTCTCAAAACTCACATCGCTGTGATAAATGGAAATGGGTCAGGGGAAATCTTTAAAGAACACCCCTTGTAGAATGACTTCCCAAGACATGAAACTCCAGTGGAGAGGGAATGCTGTCACTGGAGGACAATGCTTGGGGCCCACTAAACCACCTAGGTCCTTTCCCCATGGATGGTTGTGTCATTCGGGGGGAGATCAATGGCCATCTGTTGGGGTGAAACAGCCAGCAATGCAAAGAAGGCCACAATGGCTTCTCTTCAATGGCCAACCTACAAGGGTTGAACGAAAAGTAATGCCTCCACCTTCATTACTCAGGTTTGGATGTTGACTTTTCCACATAATCACCAGACAATCGGATACATTTCTGCCAACACTGAACAAGTTTTCTGAATCCATCAAGGAAGAAATCGACACTCTGTTTCCGCAACCAACGCCTCACGGTTCTCTCAACGTCTTCCTCAGAAGCATAATGATGTCCCCGCAGATCTTCTTTCATTATCGGGAACAGATGGAAGTCAGACGGTGCTAAATCTGGACTGTATGGAGGTGGTGAGATCCAGTCTCTGAAGTTTCAAGTCTGCGCTTTCATTTCAGGCGTCAGCATCCTGGGTACCCATCGTGCACAGATCTTCCGATACCCAAAGCAATAATGTGACCCACACGTTCTTGTGAAATGCCAATTATGCTTGAAATTTCTCTCTGAGTGATACGACGATCATCCTGAATCAATATGTCAAGCTTTTGCTTGTGAAACTCAGTGGTTGCTGTCACAGGACGTCCAACTCTTTGTTTGTCATGCAAGTCAGATGTTCCCACCTCAACATCTTTAAACTTACTCGCCCAACGACGCACAGCACTCATATCAACACAATCCCCATAAATAGCTTGCATTCTCTGATGAATCTCCTTTGGACACCTTTTGCTGTCAAGAATTCAATGACTGCACGTTGCATACGTCGCATTGACCAACTGTCTGCGCAGTGTTCCATACTTCACACTTTAACAACACTACCATTCAATGCTAAGACTTCCCATCAAAATGGAACTGTAGAGGAGAGTCTACTGAACAAGCCAGTACCTGCCGCATACCAGTACCGCCATCTGTTAAGGAGTTATAAAGGTGGAGGCATTACTTTTGATTCAACCTTTGTAGAAGCCCAAAAGAGAAACTATGTTTATTTACTTTTGTCGAGGGCAGCCTTCCAAACACAGAGAACTATCCAGAACAGAGAAGACCACATCCTAGGCCGAGACATTAGCAAAATGGCTTCCTTAAAAATGGGTTGAATGAACAGATGGCCACAACTTGTCCGTCATGGTTTGTTGGCCATCCTTGGCATCCCTCGACAAAACAGCCATTTCTTGGTCCGTTGGCAGAACGAGATCTTCTCAAAGCAATTTGCTCACACTTCCTTCCTTCTGGCAGAAGGCTGACTTTACGTGGACTTTCTTACCTGATCAATGAAGGCATCAAGGGAGGGATATAAATGCAAGGATCACAAAGATGAAGCTCAAAGCCAAAATAAACAAAAACCCACGAAGATGGCCAAGGCATACCTGCAACTGCTCACATTGCTTCTGTTGGGTCTCCCCTTCCTGGCCTTTGCAAATGATGTTCCTGTCATGACCGATGTCGACTACACAAAGGTAACAGTTTCCAGGTGCATCTGGAGTAATCCCCACAAAAGGTGATACATTCCAATTGGGATCAACATACAATACAGGTAAGTAAGGGAAACAGTGGACTGGGAATCTTAAATTGGATTCGGCACATCTCAATCATTCAGTGAGTTCCAAGCTATGGGAGCAAGGGAATTTTGAGAGGCAATATAAGAATAATAATAAATATCATCATATTTATTATTTTATTGGAACCTCTCAAAATCCTTTGAAATTATATTAGTAGTAGCAATACACCCCAGAAGGACTGGGGTTTGAATCCCCATTTCGGGTGCAGCTACACTTGTGAGTAAATGCAGTTTAGCCCTGCTTTATCTGCCCTGATCGTAATGCTATGGAACCCTGGGAGTTGGAATTTAGTCCTCATTGACAGAAAAGGCAATGGGCTTTGGAGAACTACAGCTCCCAGGATCCCCTGTGTTACTGAAATCTGCTATCTGTCACCAGGGGGCAATA